AGTGCAGTGGAGGATGGCCCAGGTCCTTGGGCCCTGCACCCCATGGGAGACCAGGAAAAGCACCTGGCTCCTGGCTCCTGCCATCGGATCAGCGCAGTGCGCCGGCCGCAGCGTGCTGGCCGCGGCGGCCATTGGAGGGTGAACCAACGGCAAAGGAAGACCTTTCTCTCTGTCTCTCTCTCTCTCACTGTCCACTCTGCCTGTCAAAAAATAAAATTAAAAAAAAAATGGCCGCAATGGGCAGAGCTGCGCCGATCTGAAGCCAGGAGCCGGGAGCTTCTTCCAGGTCTCCCATGTGGGTGCAGGGGCCCAAGGACTTGGGCCATCCTCCACTGCTTTCCCAGGCCACAGCAGAGAGCTGGGGCGGAAGTGGAGCGACCATACGGGATGCCAGCACTGCAGGTGGCAGCTTTACCTGCTAAGGCACAGCACCGGCCCCTGAAGTATTTTGAAGTAAGCTTGAAGAAAATTCTGAAATGATGCTAATCTCCCCTTGATAACAATCCTCACTCGCCCACTTGTAGATGGAGCACACGGCTGATTAATGGAGCCGCTGATTTGAGAGGGAGCCTGGAGAGGAGGGGCTTCTTGGCAGGGAGTGCTGGGTTGGGAGCCCATGGATGCCCCAGCAGAGATGTGCACTTGGGGTTGCGTGAGTCTGGCACTCACAGAAGAGTTTGGGGCTGGAAGCCTAAATGTGGGGACTGTCAGAACAGAGGTGGCACTGGAAGTCACGCAGTGAATGACATCACCTGGGACGTGAGAGAAGATGGAGAAGGACCTGAGCCTTGAGACCCCCAACATCTAGGGTTCAGATGGGAAGAACCCAGCAGAGGAGTCGGATGCTGGCGCCCTCATACAGGCATTAGTTCGAGTCCTGGCTGCTCCACTTCTGATCCAGCTCCCGGCTGAGGAGCTTGGGAAAGAAGATGGCCCACGTGCTTGGATCCCTGCACCCACCTGGGAGCCCAGGAAGAAGCTATAGTGCTATTGTAACAAGAGAATGATACTGAAGAATGGGAGTGTCTTGGTGTATGGGCTTCCTGTTGCTATTGTAACAAGTTACCAAACATAGTGGCTGAAAACAACACAAAGTTATTATTAGCCTACAGCCAGAGAAAGTGGACCGGCAGGGCTGTTTCTGAGGGAGGCTCCAAGCTGGAATCCGTTCCCCGCCTTCACCAGCGCCTCAAGGACAACTACATTGCTTGGCTCTGGCTCACAGCCCCTTATCCAAGTTCAAGCTCAGCAGGGTCCCATCTCCTCGCTGACCCCTGTGCCCACCCTCACATCCCGTACCCAGGAGACCTTCCTGCCTACCTCCCGTGATTGCACTGGGCCCACCAGATAACCCACGATCACCTCCTCAAGTCAAGTGCCAGGGTGGACTCACGGCTGCTCCACTTCTGATCCCGCTCCCTGCCAATGCCCCTGGGAAGTGTGTGGGCCCCTTCCCCCTGTGTGGGAGAGACCCAGATGTGTTCTGGTCCCAGCTCTGGCTGCTGTGGCCATTTCAGCTGCGTGGTTACTACGCTTCTTGGGATGCCCGCATCCCACATCAGGGCCCCTGGTTCAAGTCCCGGCCCCACCGCTTCCGATCCAACCTCCTGCTTGTGTGCATCCTGCGTGGCAGCAGATGACGGCTCAAAAACTCGGGTCCCAGCCACCCCTGTGGGAGACCTGGGCTGAATTTGCAGCTCCTGGCTCCAGCCTGGCCCACCCCCCGCTGCTGTGGACATCTGGGGAGTGAACCAGCGGATGGAAGGACTGTCTCTCACTGCCTTGCAAGTAACATAAACATAAAAATATTTTTTGAAGATTTATTTATTTATTTGAAAGGCAGAGAGAGAGAGAGAGAGAGAATCTTCCATCCGCTGGGCTCGTTGACCCCCCAAATGGCCACAACAGCCGGAGCTGTGCCGATCTGAAGCCAGGAGCCAGGAGCTTCTTCCAGGTCTCCCATGCTGGTGCAGGGGCCCAAGGACTTGGGCCATCTTCTGCTTTCCCAGGCCATAGCAGAGAGCTGGAGTGGAAGTGGAGCGGCCGGGACTTGAACCAGCGCCCATATGAGATGCCAGCACTGCAGGCAGTGGCTTTATCTGCTGTGCTACAGTGCCAGCCCCAATAAAAATTTTTTTAAAAGAACTTTAACCATAGCTGCAAACTCTGTTTTGCTGTACATAGCAAAATGTTCAAAGTTTCCAGGGATTAGGGCATGGGTGTCTTTGGAAGTCACTGATGACTCAAGAGAATAAGGAGTGATGATCCCACAGTCTGTGGGCAGAGCAGGGAGATGGGATCCAGCACACAGACAAGCAAGACAGATGACCCACTGAACAACGGAAAGCGAGGGAGACGAAGTGTTCTGGCAGCTTCCCGTTTCCAGTGGACTGAAGCTGAGGAGGGGCTGGCACTGTGCCAGTGGGCTAAGTCCTGCCTGTGACCCTGGCATCCTGTATCAGTGCTAGTTTGCATCCAAGCTGCTCCACTTCTTTAAGATTTTTTTAAATTATTTATTTGAAAGAGTTACAGAGAGAGAGAGAGACAGAGGTCTTCCATCCACTGGTTCCCTCCCTAAATGGTCACAATGGCCAGAGCTGAGCCAATCCCAAGCCAGGAGCCAGGAACTTCTTCCAGGTCTCCCACATGGGTGCAGGGTCCCAAGGACTTGGACCATCTTCCACTGCTTTCCCAGGCCACAGCAGAGAGCTGGATGGAAGTGGAGCAGCCAGGACTCGAACCGGCACCCATATGGGATGCCGGCACTGCAGGCAGTAGCTTTACCCACTACGCCACAACTGGCCGCTCCACTTTGAATCCAGCTCCCTGCTAATGCACCTGGGAAAGCAGCGGAAAATGGCTCAAGTACTTGAGTCCCTGCACCCACATGGGAGACCCAGAAGCAGTCCTGGTTCCTGACTTCAGATCGGTTCAGCTCCAGGAATTGCTGCCACCTGGGGAGTGAACCAGCAGATGGAAGACCTCCCTGTGTCTTTCCCTCTCTCTGTCTGTAACTCTGCCTCTCAAATACAGAAATAAATAAAATATTTAAAGAAAAACTATTCTGAAAAGAAAGGAAGTGGGTGGCTGAGCCAGCGCTGAGGGTGAGAGGCTGGAGATGAGGAGACAGAGGTGCGGGAGCCACGCTCGGCTTCCCCATCCACGCGGCGGTAATGGACAGAACACGGGGTGGTTCCTGCACCGCTCAGTCTGCAGCCTGGACAGACGGCAATGGCCTGAGCTCACCGGGCAGGGTGGGGACAGGTGTCCACGGGCAGCCTGAGCCTCACAGGAGGCAGAGTAGGAGAACTGTCGGGAAGTGTTAGGAGGTTCGGGGGTGGCAAAGGATGAGAACTGGTGGGGCTGAGGTGTGCAAAGCTGGATCGGAACCGAGGAGCTGTAGGCGAGGGGCCGCTGAGACCCCACCACGATGCGCTCTGGGCTGATTGATGGGACACTCTGTCCTGTACCGAGCAGAGACCTGCACCACAGGGACAGGGAGTGACAGCAAAGAGGAGACCGAGACCACAGGGAGCCATGGGCAGAGGCCAGGGACAGGGACGGTCAAGGGCCATGACACAGTTGCACACAGGACTGCAAGGAAGCGGGGACAGGGACCTGGGGAGAGGGACACAGAAACCCAGGTGAGACCCAGCATCCAGGGAGAAATGGAGACAACAGTCAGGAATAGCGCTCGGTGCCGTTCTCGACGTGCCCAGCAGGGGGCGCCCGAGACTCCTTTCCCTGGAGCCCCAGCACTCGCACACCTCCAGCTCATCCAATGGCTATTTTTACGCAGTGTCACTGGACACTGCGGGCTGGACAGCCAGCGCCTGTGTGCCCTTGGGTTCCCAAGTGACCCTGCAGCATCTTCCCAGTTCCTGGCACGCCCCGCCTCCTCTCTGCCCTATTCAGGGCGATCGCTCAGGCCCGCTTGCTCTCAGAAATGCTCACAAGGAACCCAGCTAGTGACCCCGGGACAGACTCCAGCGAGGAGACAGGGCGTGGGGTGCAGCTGTGGACGCGACCCCAGGACAAGGCAAGCGCAACAATACGGAGGCAATCAGGAGTGACCGTCTCCCAGGCTCGGGGATGTGACCCCCAGGGACCTGAAGTCACGCCCTGGGACTGGTGCTGGCGGTCACTCAGCCATGCGGGCAAGGAAGGAGGCCCAGGGAAGAGAGGGGAGCCCCAGAGACAGCCAGGGACAGGGACACCAAGAGCTGAGAGATGCGTGAGAACAGACCCAGAGAGAAGGGGAGGCCAGGAGAGCGAGGCTGGCAGAAACCAGACCCAGAGGTCCCCAAGCAACAGAGACACCACCCCAGCAGGGCCAGGGACCGAATGCAGTGGCCAAGGACCCAACACAGTGGACAGAGACCCAGTGCAGAGCCAGCGTAGATCTAGGGACCCAGCACAGAGCCAGAGACCCAGGGCAGAGCCAGGGACCCAACACAGTGGCCAGAGACTGGATGCAGTGGCCAAGGACCCAACACAGAACCAGGGCAGATCTAGGAACCCAGAGCAGAGCCAGGGACACAATACAGTGGCCAGAGACCGGATGCAGTGGCCAAGGACCCAACGCAGAGGCCAGGGACCCAACACAGAGCCAGGGCAGATCTAGGGACCCAGGGCAGAGCCAGGGACCCAACACAGAATCAGGACTCGACACAGTAGCCAGGGATCCAATGCAGAGCCAAGGATCCAGCGTGGTGGCCAGGGACCCAAGGCAGAATCAGGGACCCAGCGCGGTGGTCAGGGGCGGGGGGAGGCGGGAACAGCGGGGGATCGTCCAGTCAGAGCCGAGACAGGTGCGGAGACAGAGGCCCTCCCGGCGACTGGGGCCCGGCGGCCCGGGGAGGGCCCAGCGCGGAGGCGGCGTGGGGGGAAGGGCGGGCGCCCCGGTAGAGGGCGCCCGGTCGCCCGCGGCCCCGCCGGGGTCACTGCGCCCCCTCCCCCGCGGCCTGGCCGGACCGCCGGGCTATTTTTACGCGCGGACACCGGACACCGGGCTGGGGCGGCGGCGGTGGCGGTGGTGGCGGCGGCGGCGGCGGCGGCGGGGCCGCGCCGGGCCGGGCGTCGGGGCCACAGGTCCGTCCACGGGTCGCCGGGGCTGCGCGCGCCATGGAGCCGCCGTGCGGCTGCTGCGAGCGGCTGGTGCTCAACGTGGCCGGGCTGCGCTTCGAGACGCGGGCGCGCACGCTGGGCCGCTTCCCGGACACGCTGCTCGGGGACCCCGCGCGCCGCAGCCGCTTCTACGACGGCGCGCGCCGCGAGTACTTCTTCGACCGGCACCGGCCCAGCTTCGACGCCGTGCTCTACTACTACCAGTCGGGCGGGCGGCTGCGGCGGCCGGCGCACGTGCCGCTCGACGTCTTCCTGGAGGAGGTGGCCTTCTACGGGCTGGGCGCGGCGGCGCTGGCGCGCCTGCGCGAGGACGAGGGCTGCCCGCTGCCGCCCGAGCGCCCCCTGCCCCGCCGCGCCTTCGCGCGCCAGCTCTGGCTGCTCTTCGAGTTCCCCGAGAGCTCGCAGGCCGCGCGCGTCCTCGCCGTGGTCTCCGTGCTCGTCATCCTCGTCTCCATCGTCGTCTTCTGCCTCGAGACGCTGCCCGACTTCCGCGACGACCGCTACGACCCGGGACTGGCCGCCGCGGGCCCGGTGAGGGGCGGGGCCCCGGCTGGAGGGAGGCGGGGCCTGGGGCGAGGTGGGCGGGGTCCTGGCGCACCTGGCCAATCGGAAGGAGAGGCCGGGGGCTGCGCGGGGTGGCCCACCCCGGGGGCCCCCCACCCCCGGCCGCGGGGGGCTGGGCTGGAGGTGGGGCCCAGGGAGGTTTCTCACCCTTGAACCCCGGCCCTCAGAGGGCACTTGGCGCTTGGAGCAGAGCGCAGGAGTTCAGGACCCTCACACCGGGAATCAGTGTGGTGGAGGGGGCCCTGCGAGCTCCGAGGCCGGAGCACCCGGAGCCCCGACACCGGGGCCAGGAGACAGCGAGCTGCAAGCAGGGGACGGCTGGGGACTGCGGTGGGAGACACGGGTCCCACAGAGGGGACACCCGCCCCGGGAGAGGGGAGTCAGGCGACCATTATAGCCCGTGCTGGGGGTACCCAGGGCGGGGAAAAGGCAGGGCATCTCGGGGTGGGGCCAGACGGGGACCCGCCCCCTCGAGAAAATCCACCACGGAGCCGTGACTCGAGGAGTCAACAGGCTGTACCCCACTGAAGCGCCATTTCGGGAATCCCCAGGAGGGAAGGGGCAGAGGTGTGGCACAGCCAGGTCCCCAGGGGCCTCGGGCCGTGACTGCGGAGGGGTCCGTAGAGGGCAGCTGGAAGGAAGCCGCCCGGCACCCCCGCCCTCCCTGAGCCCCCCCCTCCCTGCAGTTCCCGGCGCGGCAGAATGGCTCCAGCCCGGTGCCTGGGGGTCCGCCCCGCCTGCCCTTCAGCGACCCGTTCTTCGTGGTGGAGACTCTCTGCATCTGCTGGTTCTCCTTCGAGCTGCTGGTCCGCCTGCTGGCCTGCCCCAGCAAGGCCATCTTCTTCAAGAACGTCATGAACCTCATCGATTTTGTGGCCATCCTGCCCTACTTCGTGGCCCTGGGCACCGAGCTGGCCCAGCAGCGGGGGGTGGGGCAGCCGGCCATGTCCCTGGCCATCCTGCGGGTCATCCGGCTGGTGCGCGTCTTCCGCATCTTCAAGCTGTCCCGGCACTCCAAGGGCCTGCAGATCTTGGGCCAGACGCTGCGGGCCTCCATGCGTGAGCTGGGCCTCCTCATTTTCTTCCTCTTCATCGGCGTGGTCCTCTTCTCCAGCGCCGTCTACTTTGCCGAGGCAGACCGGGTGGACACCCACTTCACCAGCATCCCCGAGTCCTTTTGGTGGGCCGTGGTCACCATGACCACGGTCGGCTATGGAGACATGGTGCCCGTCACCGTGGGCGGCAAGATCGTGGGCTCGCTGTGTGCCATCGCCGGTGTGCTCACCATCTCCCTGCCGGTGCCCGTCATCGTCTCCAACTTCAGCTACTTCTACCACCGGGAGACGGAGGGCGAGGAGGCCGGGATGTACAGCCACGTGGACACACAGCCCTGTGACATGCTGGAAGCCAAGGCCAATGGGGGTTTGATGGATGGGGAGATGCCCGAGCTCCCGCCCCCTCTCTGGGCCCCACCCGGGAAGCACCTGGTCACGGAGGTGTGAGGACAGATGAGGCCTGGAGGATCTCACACCTCTCTGGACTGTGGAGGGGGGAGGGGGAGGGGAGGGGGAGGGGAAGGCCAGCGGAAGGGGGAGTGGCTTTAGGAAGAACTAGGTTACGTGGTGATGACCGGAGCAACACCCAGTCTTCTCGCTGGGTCTTGAGCTGTATGATTTGGGGGTGGGGGGCACCTCCTGATGCAGCAGTGAATGGCCATGGGTTGTTGAACTCAGTTGGGTTGGGGGGCTCGACTGGTTCATGTGGCACTGAGTTGTGCAATACTCCTGGGGTCTCTGGGGGGTGGTGTGGAGCTAGGATCGGTCATACCCATCGCATGAGTTTCCCAGGTCCGTGTTGGGAAGGGTTGGGTGGTGAGTCTTGTCCAACTGCATTTGTGCAGGGTTGATGGGTTTCCTGGGGCCATCTGGGACAAATTAGGTGGTCACCAGTGCGTTGTTGAGATCGATTACACGGCCATGCTTCGTGTCATTGCATTAAGACGTGTCCAAAATCATGTGGCATTGTGGTTCCTCTAGGGCCGTGTTCTCTTGGGCTCTGTGAGCTTGCGAGCTGTACAGAAAGACAAACGGTCATGTGATAGGATGTTGGCTTCCTAAGTCGTGATGGGTTGGGTTGGGCTAGCATGTGTGAGCAAATGGGCCTCTTGGGTTCTGCTGGTTGAGCTGTGTAGAGTTGTATCACTGTGTGGGTCTTGTGTGGTCAGTTTATCTGGGTCAATGACCAAGGCTCCTAGGACCATGCTGAGTTGGGCTACATTGAGTTCTGTCTCTGAGTCCGAAAGAAATGTTGGGGTGAGCCAGGCTGAGTGTTTGAGTGCCCTAGGGTCACGTCGGGGGGCTTTGTGTTGAGTGGCAGCCCCAGGACCGGGGAAAGCCGTGGTGGGGAGCCATCACGCACCGCGGAGCAAGTGCGGCCCTGGCAGGGCTGGGGTCTGTGTCCAGGCGTTCTGCTGTCCATCCGTCGGGCTCTGGGTGAACCCGGCGCGCCTCCGTCTACCCTGCGCCCGCCTCCTGTCTGTCCGCCCCTGCATTTTTGCTGTCAGACGTGAAAGTCAGCTACAAGGGACGGGAAAGGAGGGGGGAAAGCTGAACTCTGTCTGGCTGTGTTGGGGAGGGTGGACAGAAACCAACAGGAGAGGGACAGAGGCCCAGAGAGAGAGACGGAAACCCAGACAAGGGAGACTCGGAGAGAGAGAGAGAGAGAGAGAGAGAGAGAGGGGACAGAGACCCAGAGGAAGGGATGGAGACCCAGAAGAGGGGGTGGAGGCACCCAGAACTGGAGAAGACCATAGCGCTCCAGACAAAGTGAACCAAATAAGAAAAACACGCAAGCCGGAGAGCTGGGACCTGAGAGAGGCGCTCCCCCCGCCCCCGCCCAGAGTCGCAGAAACGCTGGCCCAGGGCACGTCGCAGGGCGTCCCCACGGCTCAGGAGGGGGGCTGTGGGCTGGTGGGGAAGGAGCCGGGGGAGAGGCCCGAGTCTCAGGGCAGGGCGGCGGCTTCCGAAGGTTGCACAGGAGCAGGGCGCGTGGCTGCCTGATGCCACCGTGGCTCCTGAGTGCAGCAGGACGCAGGCACAGCGGGGGGCGATGGGAAGGCATTGGGGTGGGCCAGGTGGCACGGCCCGTTAAGCACTGCTTGGGACCCTCGTCCCATAGCACAGCGCCTGGGGTCAAGTCCCACCTGTGCCCCAGCTTCCTGCTGATGTGCCCGTGCCTCCCGCGGGGCCGGTCCAGGTGGCGCTCCTGCCCAGCCCCGGCAGCGGGCGGCTGGGGAGCATGGCGAGGAAGACCTCACTCCCGCGCTCTCGGTCACTCCGTCCGCCTTCAAATTAATCTTCAAAATGAGAAAAGGGCATTTAGAGAAGGAAGAGGGGCGGTCATGAACACTAAACACAGAGGGCTTCCTATGTGCCAGGCATCGTTCAGAGTACTGTACTGGTATTAATTTATTAAAGCCCACCCACTGGTTTACAAAGTGTGGCTGTTGTTACTTTCAGCTGTAATCTCCCCTCCCCACCCCCTTTTTTGGAGCAAATAAAATGTTCCGTAGAGGGTACCAGAGGAAACCCCAGCCAGAACTGGTCCAGAGCACAGCTCCTTCCCGGTCCCTCTGGGCAATCCAGAATACAGCCGAAGAATCAGTGTGGACACCCCCGATTTCTCCCACTCGCCTCTGGAGATGAGAGAAGGGACAGGTGTGGAACCCCTAGCGGTCACCTCTCTCTGCAATGGAGAGAGAGCGGCGTGCAGAGGCACACAGGGAGACAGACCCCTCCCAGGGGCAGGAGACCCCAGCGGAGACTCAAAGAGGAGGAGCCAGAGAGGATGGAGGTTCCTGGCAACAGAGAAACTCTGCGGTGAGGGAGGAGGAGAGTGGGGGAAGACCCAGGAGTGGGGACAGAGACGCATAGAGGGCAGATAAGATCCTAAGAGAAGCAGACAGAGCCCCAGAAAGTGGGGAGCAGACACCCAAAGGGGGGGACAGACACCCAGAGAGAGGGTGACAGGGACACAGACTGGGGGACACAGACTGGGGGGGAGTGGACAGAGACTGGGGGGGGACAGAGGGGAGAGGACTGCTTCCCAGTTACTCCCCTTCCAGAACTCAGTGCCTCTACCCCGCGGGGGCCTGTGCCCCTGGCCAAGGATGGGCTGTGTGGGGGCTGGACTTGAGGAGGTGTGACGGGGTCAGGGAGGTGACCCGAGCAGACACCAGGACTGCGAAGCGGCCTTTCTCGGAGCCGCCTCTGCGGGCCCTGGCTGGCGAGGAGGGGAGAGGGGCACGCCCTAATCCCGGGCCACCCCTCCTGCCTTGCTATATTTAGGCGGGGGAGGGGGGGTCTGGGATGACCCCCGGTGGGTGTCACCTTTCCTTCTGAAAATAGCCCAGGGGGAGGGGAGTCCCAGGGAGGGGGGAGGGGCACTGCAGCCCCGGGCTCATCCCTTTCTTCTGGGGCTCTGCCACTGTCATGGGGCAGCCGCCCGCTCCCTGGTCTCCGTCCCTGTTCCCTCCTGTCCTTCCGAGTATCCCCACGCACTCTCACTCCGAGCAGGGCTATGCATTCCCAAGACATGGCTTTGTTTGAACTCTGGCTTTCTCTGAGCTCAGGACGGGAGACCCTCTTCCCAGTCCCCACCCAGGAAATTGGAGAGACGAGAGCCCTCCACGTCCACTGTCTCCCCCCACCCCACCCCGGGGCCGGGGCCTTATCGCTGCCCAAGCCCAGCTGGTTAATGTCTGGCGAGGAGCTCCTGGGAACGTGGGGACAGAGCAGAGGGTGGGAATCTGCCCCAGGATTGACACTGAATTGGCAAAAGACCGCAAATGAATCTCAGGCCTGCAGTCCTTGGAGCTAATGGAGGAGGGGCTGGGGTCTGGACTCCTGGGGCTGAGGGAGGAAGGATTGGGGGTCCAGACTCCAGAGTCTGCGGGGAGAGGGGGTTCAGGGGCTGGACTCCAGGGTCTGAGGGAGGAGGGCCTGGGGGTCCGGACTCCCGGGTCCGAGCGGGGAGGGGCCAGGGGCCGGGACTCCTGGGACTGCGGCGGCCCGGCTGAGGGAGCCGGCCCGGCTTCCGAGGTCCCGGCACGCGCGTGCAAGGCGGGATTCCCCCGGCCCCTCCTACGCCGTCGGGCGCCGCCCCGCCCCCGGCCGGGCCCCGCCGAGCGCGAGCCGCCAGCAGCCGGGCCAGCGCGCGTCCCTGCAGCCCAGCGAGCGGGAGGAGGAGCCGCCGCCGCGCCAGGGGCAGCCCGAGGAGCCGGAGAGGGCGCCCCAGGTAAGAGCTCGGCGCCTCCTCCCCGGGGTTCCGGCGTCCGGGTCGCCCTGCCCTCGGGTGGGGAGGGGCGGGGGCGGGGCCGGCGGGGGCGGGGCTTGGCGGAGGAAACTGAGGCAGGGGACAAGTGTGCCCAGGCGGGGGTCGCAGGAGTCGGGGCTCCCAGCCCAGATCTCCTGGAGAGGGGACCGGGGAGGAAGGGTTTGAACTCCAGAACTGGATTTGAGGGAGGAGGGGCTGGGGACCCCTGACTGCTGGGTCTGAGGGAGGAGGTGCTGGGGGCCCTCCAACTGCTGGGTCTGAGGGAGGAGGTGCTGGGGACCCTGGCAGCTGGGTCTGAGGGAGGAGGGGCTGGGGACCCCCGACTGCTGGGTCTGAGGGAGGAGGTGCTGGGGACCCTGGCAGCTGGGTCTGAGGGAGGAGGGGCTGGGGACCCCCGACTGCTGGGTCTGAGGGAGGAGGGGCTGGGGACCCCCGACTGCTGGGTCTGAGGGAGGAGGTGCTGGGGACCCCCCGGCAGCTGGGTCTGAGGGAGGAGGGGCTGGGACTCCTGGGTCTGAGGGAGGAGGGGCTGGGGGCCCAGGGCTCTCAGGTGGGAGGGAGGAGGTGCTGGGGACTGCACTCCCTGTCCATGGTTGGGTCGTTGGGTCGGCCTGTTCTCTTCACACGCGGCCGGCGGCTTCCCCACCTCCTGGCCAGGGCAGGCAGCCACTCCAGGTATGTGCAGAAGTCTTGGGCGCGCCCTGGCCTGTCCTGTGAGGAGGGAACATTCCAGGAAGTCTCTGGGACCCAGGGCTTCTCAAGTGTGGGCCCTGGGGGACCCGGGCGTCCAGGCCAGCCCCGCCTGCGCCCCGTCTGGGAGATGGATGGGCCGAGGGGAATGTAATCTTTCCCAGCCTCCTCCATCTGCCGCCGCCCCCCTTCCCGCTTCTCCCCTGCGCCCATCTGCTTCCCATCCCAGCCAGGAGCCATCACCTGGGCCAGGGAAGGGGGCCTCTGGGAAGGGGGCAGGGCCTTGGCTCCTGGGTACCCTGAGAAGAGGGTGATCAGGGGCCCAGGCCCACTCCCCCCACCTGCCTGCTTCACCTGCCTGTCTGCTTCTTCCCCCAGGGGTTGCCCCCTCCCTCTGCTGAGATGTCAGGAAGGAAGGGGCCAGCTGTGTCCTCCACAGGGGCCCCCTGGAGCCTGGGGGCCCCCGGCCCGGGAGCTCGGAGGTGGAGCACGTGCTGACAGGTCTGGTTGCCAGCGGCTGCTTCCCAGCCCTCCCCACGCCACCCCTTCCCAGAGCCACAGGCTTCTAGGATGTGGTGGAGAAACTGGGGTACCACGCCCCTGCCCGGTCCGTCTCCCACAGGGAGGCTGAGGCGCCCCCGCCCCCAGGAGGGAAGTTAGCGGCAGTGTGGGACTGAACTCGGGTCTCTCCGGGACTCTGGACGGCGGCCTGTCCTCCACGCTGCGGGCCTCAGGTGTCCTTGGGGGCGCGGAGGCCGGAGTAGAGCGACCCAGACGGGGTTCCAGTCCCCTCTCTGGTGCTGTGGGATCTGGGGCAAGTCTGGCTTCTCTGAGCCTGCATTCCCCCGCCTTGTTGGGAATTAAGGAATGGCGGCTGGAAAATGATGATGGATCCAGCGTCCCGAGGGAGGGAAGGGGCTCCCTGGGGCCGCGGCAGGATGGGAAGGCGTCTCCTCCCTCCTCTCACCCCAGCCCCCTCGCTCTGTCTTCAGGTGCTCCGAGAGATGCTCCCCCACCTCGCGTGCTCCCTCCCTGTCCTCCTCCTCCTCTTCCTCCTCCCCAGTGTCCCAGTGGAGCCCCATCCCCCGCCCTCGACGCTGCCCCCGTTTCTGGCCCCTGAGTGGGACCTCCTGTCCCCCCGGGTAGCCCTGTCCAGGGGCACGCCCTCGGGGCCCCCTCTGCTCTTCCTGCTGGAGGCCGGGGCTTTCGGAGAGCCGGCCAGCGCCCCGGCCAACCGCAGTCGGCGTGGGGTGAGCGAGACGGCACCAGCGAGTCGCCGGGGGGAGCTGGCCGTGTGCGACGCGGTCAGCGGCTGGGTGACCGACCGCCGGACGGCCGTGGACTTGCGCGGGCGCGAGGTGGAGGTGCTGGGCGAGGTGCCTGCGGCGGGCGGCAGTCCCCTGCGCCAGTACTTCTTCGAGACCCGCTGCAAAGCTGAGGGCGCCGGGGAAGGCGGGGGCTGCCGAGGTGTGGACCGGAGGCACTGGGTGTCCGAGTGCAAGGCCAAACAGTCGTACGTGCGGGCACTGACCGCTGATGCCCAGGGCCGCGTGGGCTGGCGATGGATCCGAATCGACACTGCCTGTGTCTGTACCCTGCTCAGCCGGGGTGGCCGGGCCTGAGGCCGGAGCCCAGGAACCGGCCAGGCGGAGGAGAGAGCGAAGAGAACTGGATCTGTGCGGAGGGACCTCGGGGGCGGCCTGGCTTGCTCAAGGGCCTGCGTTTGGGAACTTGCCGGAATGGCGGCAAAATCACAGCTGTGGGAGGAGTGATGACACCACACGGAGTCCCGAGGATGGGTTCGGGTCCTCCTGGAGGGACGGAGGGGATTCACAGTGAAAGCAGCCAATGCCCACCGAGCCAATGCCCTCGCATCAGCTGTTGAGGATCCCACCGGCAGAGACCCTCGGTTCTAAGTTGCGGTCTCAGAGGACACTGGGTTGCCCACCTGGGAAGGAGGGACAAGTGGATGGGGGAGGGGAGAGCCCGGGACACAGGGGCCAGCACCTGGAGGGCATGGCACCTCAGTACCTGGGGGCGGGGATTCAGACGAGAAACTGTGCTCCGTGCGAGGGGGCAGTTGTCAGTTTTGAGGTAGTGAGCCTCCCATCACAGGGCCTGGGCAAGGCCAGGCTGCTGGGGAGGTCACCCCTGCGCAGAGGGCTGGAGTCAGGTTTCTGCCCCCATTCCCTGTCCCAACCTTCACCCCGCACTGGGGAAGAAACACTATACACACTTGACACTGTCTGGTTGGAGCAGGACACGGGGTTCCGACCAGTCGGCCTGCGCCCTGGTTGGGATCGGGGCTCAGCCGACACCGAGGCCTTTGAATAGGGCTGAGAAAATCCAACAGGAGCCAGCGGGCTGCACGGGGCAGGGGTTGGGGGGGAGGTGTGTGCCAGGCTGCGGGGGGGCCGCAGAGATGGAGACTGCCCCCAAAGCTGTGGGACAGACTCCCCCCCCTCCGAATGGTGCCCCTTCCTGTGGCTCCAACACCCCTGTCTGCCACACACGCAGCTTCCCCCCTACACAGACCGGCCCCCAGGCCCGGCTGTCTCTTCCTGCATGGCCTTCCTCTAGATCTGTGGGTCCCATGTGCCTTTTTTTTTTTTCTTTTTTTTTGCCACCTTGCTCCCTGTCCCTCTAACTTCCTGAGTCTCTCATCTCTGGGTCGGTAGCTGCCTGCCTGCCCTGGCCAGGTCCTTCTCTCTCTGTTGGGTGGGGTATTTCCCTTTGTATTTCAACTTTCTGCAGGTCTCTCCCTTTTCGTCCCCCCCCCCCCCCACACACACACACATCCAGGTGGAAGTTTTCAACCAAATCAAAGGCAGGCCGGCGACGCTGGCTCCTTCTGCAGGCACAGGGCAGATGGGAGGGTCCTGGGGCGTCTGGAAATCGTTACCCCGGGGGAGTGGGCCGGCCTGGCAGAGGGAGGAGGCAGCCGGGAGGGGCTGTGCCCCACAGGAGAGCCGGGTTCTCAGAGACCCTGGTGGGCTCAGGGGGGGTCTCTGCCTCTCTTGCGGTCTGTGCCTCCTGGCCCTCCCAGGCCTCTCCCCCTCCCTCTGCTGCCCCCTCGCTGGGGTCTGTCTCCCCCTCATCTCCCTTTTCGCACCCCCACGCCAGCCCCGTTCTGTGCCCCTCTAGGGATCTCTGCCCCTAGTCCCCAGACCTCTGTCTCGCTCTGCCCATCCACTTGCCTGCGGGCCCTTTCATTGGCTAGGCTCCGAGTGGGCGGGTTCTGTCACCTGTGGCAACAGCAACAACAAGCCTGCTCCCGCTTGGCTACTGGGTCGGGGTGGGTCATGGCTGGGCGGACCCTGGCGCTGCGCTACGGCCCCCCATGGTCCCCCATCTCCGGAACTGAGGTGCCTGGGTCCTGGCCCAGCTGGCATCTCACCAGCAGCGGCGTTGCGCACCACCACATCCCCTCCCTGCCCTTCCCCCCGCCCAGCGTGCAGGTGAGCCGACCCCCGCTGGAGGGCGAGCCTGGGATCCGGAAAGCTGGGTGCTGAGAAGGGGCCTGGGGGCTCGTCCTCGTAATCCACCCTGAGAGAGGAGCGGGGAACCTGGGAGCCAGGGAGTGGCGCGGGGAAGGGCCGCGGACCGAGGGGAAGAGGGCGGAGCGGAGCGGAGCCCCGAGTCTTGAGCCGACGAACGGCGCCGTCTCCCCAGTGCACAGTCGCGGGGCCCCTGCCCCCGGCCGCGAAGCAGGACTGGCCCATCGGGGCTTTCGACGAAGTCTTTAACACATGGGAGACAACCTCGGGCTCGGCGCACGTGCGCAAGACTCACGGTGGGCCCTTGGCGCAGGCCCGGGCCCAGGAGCCCGCGGACCCCACGCGCACCTTGGGGATCAAGTCTTTAGGAGAAAAGGTGAGGTCCTGGGGCGCTGGAGACGGCAGGGCCGGGCACGTGCGCCCCCCGCGCCCTTACGTCGGGTGCCTGGGTCGCCTCTCTACAGCTCAGACACCACGGCTGGCACCTGGCGGGGACCGCCGAGATCCAGAGCGAGACGAAAGCGAAGTACCCGGGCTGGCTCCCCGCGCCGCTGCGCGCCCCCTCGCCCGGCGTGCCGCAGCCCCTGGAGCTCGCCGACCACCTCTGCGGGGGCCCTTCGCAGGTAGCCGAGCGCGGGACAGCGCTGGCACCCTGCGAGATTCGGGACCGGCCTAGGGGCATAGCTGGGGAGACTGGCTACAGAGCCGGGTAGTTGCGTGGACTTGTTGAGGCGGGACCAGGACTCAAAATCCAGGCTTGCAGGTGGCCGGCCTGTAGGTAGGGAGTGCGCCTGGACTATTCCGAGAGGGGTTGGGGTGGGAGGTGGGCATCAGGCCTTCCTGGGGAGGAAGAGATGAAGTGGACTTGATGCCCAAGAAGCAGAGAGATCTGGTGGCCAGAGAAGGCTGGCACTGGGGGTGGAACCAAGGAGATTTGCTGGGGCTGGGGCTTGAATCCCTTGGACTTGGGGGTGTGACTGGCAGGGGTTCTTATTTGGGGAGCCAGGCTAAAGTCCCTGGCGCGGGACTGATCAGGGAAGATCAGATTCTGGGGACCCAGAGCTGGGGGATCTACGATAGGGGTTCTGAGGTGGGGACCCAGGGCCTGGGACGGGTACAGACGTCTGCACACTCCTCCTACCGCGGTCTTCCTCAGGCCCTCATCCCCTGGACCAGGAACACGGAGCTGGCCGGCCAGCCCTTCATGGTGTCTGACCAGGGCGTCCTGAACCGACACCAGCCCTACCTGACCACTACCGCCCGGGACTTCCGCTACTACACGAAGTGAGCCTGCAACCCCGACCTGGGCCCCGGGGACCCCAGCTCTTTCTCCGACTCGGTACCCGTGGCCTTCAAGTCCTGCTCACGCAGGAAGCAAAGCTCAGAGCACAGCCTCTACCCCTTTTAGCCCCCGGGGTCCTCAGTGGCATCTCTGGGCAGCCTCCACAGGTGGGCTTCAGGATCTGGGTTTAGGGCCCTCTTCCGTATCTGAGCCCCCAGATTCTCTCACCAACAATGCGACAGTCCGGTTTCTGGGCCCTTCCCAAGGGGTCCCCGACGCCTGCGAATGTGCCCTGTCCCGGAAATGCAGGCTCCGAGGTCTCAAACCTCAGCCTCCTCGTGCGGATGCAGCAGTGCCCTCCCCATGCGGCCCCCTCCCGCAGGAAGGAGCTGTCCGGATACCCGCGCAAGGACTCGCTGACCTACTGGAACTTCGAGCAGACGCCCCGGGTCTGGGCCAATGGCCCGCAGCGGGCACCCTGTTCGCCTTTCCCTCAGCCCTCGCGGGTCCGCGTGCCCCGCGCCGGCCCCGCGCCGCCGGCCGTGCCGCACCGCGGGGCCCTGCCCTTGGCTCGGGAGTCCTTCTGCCCCCCGCTGCACGCACTGCGCCGCCTCGACCTTTCCTGTCCTCTGGAGGCGCCCTGGGGAGGTCCCCACTGGAGGCCCCTGCCGGGCATCTACAGCACGCCCAAAGCCTACAGCACCGAGAGCTCCCGCTACGGCAGCGGGAGGCCGGAGCTCGTGTGAGCGCGCCTGCCCACGGGGCCAGCCCGGCCGGGACTCCCCCGAGCAGCGGAGACAGCGCCCGGACTGGGACACGCCCACTCAACCACTTGGTGTGGGCGGGGCTACCCTTGAACACGCCCCCCAGCTCGCGGCGGGAGGGACTGAGACTGGAGAGGGGGCCAGGGCTCACCCCGTCCAAGAGTTAAACATAAACCACGCGTTCTGGGGAGCGCTGGGAGCGTCCGGATTCTAGGGTTGGCTGCGGGAGCCGCGGAGCTCCGGCTGGCTCTCCTGCCGGGGCGCAGGCCGTCTCGGACTGTGCAGTCCAGGATGGCAGCCACGCGCCTGCCAGGCTGCACCGGCACTAGGAAGGCCTCGAGCCAGCGGCAGTGGAAGGGTTCACTTGGGCCCAGCCCTGGGCCGGGGTCCCAGGAGCCTCCCACAGTTTCGCCGAGGTGCACCCACGGGCAGAGGCGGGGCTCTGCACCCACAGTGGGCCCGTGCCGCTGGCATCGAGGACTGTCTGTGCGGCCACCTCACCGTGGCCTGTGGCACTGGAGCCACCGGGAGGGCTGGGATGCTGTGCCGGGCGCTCCTCACCTCCCTGACCTTGTCCGCCTCTCGCCCCCGGGGGATTTGTGTCCAGGTTACCCCTGCGTGCTGCCACCACCTGGTGGCCTTGCCGCCTCCACAGCCCATGGGTATAAAGCCAGGTAGATGAGCAGGGGCGGCACTCGGGATGGGGACGCTCCAGGTAAGACTGCAGGGCCCGGGCCCTTCCAGCTCCACCTGGGCCGCAGTGCCAGCCGGCGGGCTTCCTGGAGGACGGAGCAGGTGGGGGAGTGCCGGGGGGTGTCCCTGGGGCTGTGGAGTGAGCGCCGGCAGGTGTCTGGCAGGGCCCCTGTCCCTGAGCGCCTGGACAGGAGAGCTCAGGGTCAAGGGCTCAGGCACTGGCCTTGCCCCAGGGGCTGCTGCTGTGGCTGCTGCTGGGCACGGGCGGGGCGCAGGCACCCAGAGGGCCGCTCCGCCCACTGTGCCGGCCCGTCAACGCCACCCTGGCCGCCGAGAACGAGGCCTGCCCAGTCTGCATCACCTTCACCACCAGCATCTGTGCCGGCTACTGCCCCAGCATGGTGAGCACCGTGGAGGGGCGGTTCGGCCGGGGCAGGGGCCGGGCACTGGCGTCAGCTGGGGGGGGTACGGGAGGGCAGCGCAGAGGCTGCCCTGGGACCTGCATCTGGGACGGGGGCAGGGGCGGCTCCGAGGCCCACGCTGCTCCCTCACGCTCCAGGTGCGGGTGCTGCCCGCCGCCCTGCCGCCCGTGCCCCAGCCCGTGTGCACCTACCGCGAGCTGCGCTTCGCCTCCATCCGCCTCCCCGGCTGTCCACCTGGCGTGGACCCCGAGGTGTCCTTCCCCGTGGCCCTCAGCTGTCGCTGTGGGCCCTGCCGCCTCAGCAGCTCCGACTGCGGGGGTCCGCGGGCTCAGCCCCTGGCCTGCGACCTCCCCCACCTCCCAGGCCTCCTCTTCCTCTGAGGCCCCTCGGCCCCACCTCCCGCCCCACCCCCACTGGTGGAGCCAGCAGGTGCCCCGCTCCTCCCCTCCCAATAAAACTTCTCCATCTGCAGGCTGGGGTGTCTTTCTGTGGGTTCCGGGGGACGCACACACACCCAGGGGCCAGTTTCCAAACCATTTTATACAAAGTCACAGTGTCAGAACTCTGGTAGAAAACAGGGTGGGGGAAGGGGCAGCGCTCGGCTCAGGACGTGTCCATGGTTTCGCCTTCTGTGGGGAGGAGGGAGGCCCGGTGGTCAGCCTGAGCTCTCCCAGGCCAGCCTGCCACGCCCCGCCCCGCCCCGCCCCGCCCTGCCCTGGCACTCACTGAGCTCATTGAAGAGGAAGGCGTCCTGGTACTCCTTCATGTACTGCGTGGAGCGGGACTCGTCCAGGAAGAGAGAGTACACCCGCTTGATGTCCTCCACCTGCACCTCCGTGCCCTGGGGAGGCCGAGTCCTCAGTGGGCCCCTCCCGCAGGCACACAGACCCCAGGCAGCCAAGCGAGCGGCAGCCAAGGCCAGGGGCTCCGGGCGAATCTCCCAAGTTCCAGGCCTGCCTCGGCCGGCCCGGCTCACCCTGCACGCCTCAGGTCCTTCACCGTGAGAGGGACCTCACGGCTCCCACACACGGGCCACATGCTTGCCCGGCCCCGGGGATGTGCCAGACACGGAAACAGACCCAGGCAGTGCCTCTGGAAACGCGTTCTAGGACCCCCGGCCACACCCCCGCTGACCTTGCGTTTCCGGCACACCAGGCTGGCAGCGGTGATGAGCTGGATGGCGTAGCGCAGCGAGGTCTCCAGCCCGATGCGCGTCAGCACCGTGTAGGCGTCCTCGCTCATCTCCACGTCCTCCTCCTCGCACCTGTCACATGGGCACGGGGGGGCGGGGGTGAGAAGGCTCAGCCAGGGCTGGCCCAGCCCTCGGGGTCACGTGAGGAGTCTGCGTCCCAGACCCACAGAAAGCAGAGGCCACAGGAGCCACCGAGGCAGGGGCCGAGAGAACCTAGAACCTGGGCCTCCTGAGCCCCTTCCCCGCCCCCCGGATGAGGCCTCTGCCTGGAGGCCCCACTCAGCCCCCCTTGCAGGCCCAGCAGCCAGGGGTCCCCGAGTCTCAGGTGGGCGGTCCTGCCCGCACCGGATGCGGAGGATCTGCTTCGTGTCCTTCTCGCTGTAGGGGGAGGTGGAGACGATGAGCAGCCGGTCCAGCAGGTCAATGGGGAGGCCATGGGGGCTCTGGTAGCTGGTGCCCCGGATCCTGGGGAGTGGGAGACAGGGAGGGCTAGCAAGTGACGTGTGTGGGACCCTGCTCTGTCCCCTGATCCTCAGACCCTACACACCCCGTCTACCACAGCCCACGCGCGGGGCCAGGCCCCACTCGGCCTCAGCCCCAGCTGCGTCAACCCTACCCCCGGGCGCCCCCGCAGAGCCGCGGCTGGGCGTCTGTGTCCAGGATTACTGCTCCAAGGTCCCACGCCCCTGCTCGAGGAGGGCAGACACCGGCCCGGCGTGTCCCCCGCTGCCCCTGGCCTGGCGCCCGGCGGGCTCCAGGACGGCCACGGCAGCTGCGTTCTGTGATGTCACCGTGAACACTCAGCGAGGACGCCCCCACGGCTGCTGGGGGACACGGGATGAGGCTCCCGCCCCCTCTCCAGTGTCCTGTCCATCATGCGTACGGAACCTGGGGCTGTGTTAGTATACATTGCTGAGTCACTCACAGAGCCCACGGCCAACAGCGCCGTCTCTCCAAGGCGTGTCCCAGCCTGTCCCTGCTCAGCAACGTGGCATGGCACTTCAGCACTACGCTTGGGTGTACCTCAGCTTCGTTTTATTTATTTGAAAGTCACAGTGAGGGAGAGAAGGAGAGACACCATCTGCTGGTTCACTCCCCAAATGGCTGCGATGGCCAGGGCTGAGCCAGGCCACAGCCAGAAGCCAGGGGCTTCATCTGCGTCTCCAAGAGGAGGTGCAAGGCCATCTCCTGCTGCTTTCCCAGGGGCGTCAGCAGGGAGCTGGATGGGAAGTGCAGCAGCCGGGACTTGAACCAGTGCCCACTGGGGGTGGGATGTTGGAGTCACGGGCAGTAGCTTAACCTGCTGTGTCACAGCTGCCGGCTGGCGTATCACCACACCACACACACACACACACACACACACACACAACACAAGCATCTTGACAGACAGGGAGACGAGAGGGGGGCTGCGGCCAGCAGGCAGAGTGCGGCCTCATCCAACCTCAGCCGGGCACCTGGGCATCAGGGACCTGAACTTACGCTGCTCTGCGCATCTCTGCCAGTGACCGTGAGGGCGCCCCGAGTACGACCCGGGGAGCCAACCACCTTTTTGCAGGCAAGCAGGTTTACAAGTACAGAATCGGCTACGGACGGGGAGCGGCGGCAGCCAACTCACAGCCGTCTGGAGACGAAGTTGTGGCCCTGCTACCTTCCAGACCCGAGCCCAGCGCAGCTCACGGGCCCGACTATGAAGCTGGCGGAGACGACCGCGCCCTGCGGGGCTTCTTTTGAGGGTCCAGGAAGGTCTTCCAGGAACAGTGTCAGACAAAAGCCAGGCAAAACTGCCCAGCGCCCCGCCTGGCCGGGCCCAGTTCCCGGCTCACTGATGGCCCCCTGCTGCACAGTGACAGCTCAGCGTCCCAGCAGGGCGGGGCCCGGTGGGAGCGCTGGTGCAGGCTCCACATCCCAGGCAATGCGGGCTCCTGGCCCTCCCCCTCCTCACAGGCTGATGGCTGACGCGTGTGCAGGGGTGGGGCACGGAGGCCACACCCAGGGCACAGGTTCCCGGGACTCATCAGGGCACGGTGCCGGTCAGATGCCAGGGATTTTGCCAGGGCAGCTTGAGGCCACGATCACACAGAGGACGCGCTGCCCAGGCAGCCGGGGCTCAGTGGTTTGTGCGGGGTCGGACAGAGGTCACTGTGCTTCCCTCAGGATTAAGACGTCCACAGCACCCCCGAGAGCTTCCTGGGGCCGGGGCGAGCTGCCTACACCCAGTCACCCACCTGCCTTGCTCCAGGGAAAGGCACGGCTTCCTGTCGGAGCCAGCAGTGCTGGGAGCCCGCAGCCCACGGGGCCCCACGTGACCCCGTGCCAGCTCACCGGGTGATCCCACGGTTGGTGGCCATGATGAGCACAGGCGCCATGTCGCTCTCCAGGGCGCGGTTGAGGAAGGAGAAGCTCTCGATGTCCAGCATGTGGACCTCATCGATGAACAGCACCTGGGGCGCGGGGGCTCGAGTTCAAGGGCACGCCCTCCCGGCCAGGCCCCCCGCCCCTCCCGCCCCGGTGCTCACCCCAGGGATGATCTCCGCCTTGCCCTCCTCCCGCCACTCGGCCACCTTGGCGTTGATCTGCTCGCGGACTTCTGACTTGATCTCCCCGGTGTCACCTGCAGGAGCCAGGGCGGCGTCGGGGAGTCAGGGAGGCGACGAGGCCGAGACCGCAGGGTGGGCACAGAGGAAGCAGATCCCAGCGGCGGCGAGCTGGGTCTCCGCCATGTCCCCAGGCCGGGGGGAGTCGGGGGCTGCCCGGCCTGGACCCTCACCTGAGAAGAGAGCCAGGAAGCCCTGGGTGCGGGAGTTGATGACGTCGATCTCGTGCAGGGACACGGTGTGCACGACCTCCTTGCGTTTCTGGAGCTCCCCATCTGGGCACTGCACGAACTTGGTCTGGGGGGTCAGAGAGTGGTCGTTCAGAAACCCCAGGCCCAGGAGGGGAGGTCAAGCCAAGGGGCACGCAAGGGCACTCAGAGTGAGGGGCAGCGTCCCGGGTTACAAGACCCAGGAGCACAGGGACAGGAGGACCCAGGCCCTGTGGTCACAGAGGCGACAGAACATCCAACGGCCGGGGTCGAGGGTGTCCCCAGCGTCCTGGCGCACCTGGGAGCCCATGGCGTCGTAGTCCCGAGCGCGTGTGAAGGAGCGGCCCAGCTTGGAGATCTTGCCCGTGGCCTTGTCGATGGTGATCACGTCCCTGTGGGTGGGGAGGGAGGGCGGAGGAAGAATGGAGGGGGGTCTGAGTCCCTGCCGCCCAGGCCACCCGGGCCACCCAGGCCACCTGCACAGCCTGCCTGCTCACCCGGCCTGGACCTTGTCCTTGGTCAAGGACTCGATCATCTTGGTGCCCAGGTCGTAGATGGTCTCCATCTCTGTGGTCTTGAGGGTCAGCTTGCCCACCTTGGAGCCCTGTGAGGGGAGACGAGCCAGGAAGGGGCTCAGAGAGGGCCCGGTGCTGCCCAAGGCTCCCCGATGAGCCTGCAGCCCTGTGCCGGCCTCTGCTGACACAGCTCAGAACAGGCGACACGGGGAGTTCCTGGGGGTGAGGGGTCTGTTCCCCGCCACAGCACAGGCCAGCGCCGGCCACGGTGCACACTCTCAGCCTGTGCAGAGTTCTACCTGTCCGTCACAGAGCTGTTCACACTCACACCTCAAAGAGCCTGTTAAGAGAGGGGCCAGCACTGTGGCATAGTGGGTTAAGCCTCCGCCTGTGACACTGGCATCCCTTATTGGTACAGGTTTGAGTCCCAGCTGCTCCACTTCTGATCCAGCTCCCCACTGATGGCCTGGGAAAGCAGTGGAAGATGGTCCCTGTACTCATGTGGGCGACCTGGATGAAGCTCTTGGCTCCTGGCTTCAGCCTGACCAAGCCCCAACCATTGCAGCCATCTGGAGAGTGAACCAGCAGATTAAAGATTCTCTTTCCCTAACACTACCTTTCAAATAATTAAATCTGAAAGGTCCCACAAACTGGCCAGCAGGGTCACACTCCAACGTTCCTCTTTTATACCCATGTTAAAAAATTGGGAAAACCCAGCTAAGCAGAAACAAGGAGACACAACTTCCAGGCCCCACCCTGCGAGACAAGCACAGTTCACGTTTCTCAGTTACATCCCCAGTAGCGGATCCTGACCGGGCCTGCCGGGGGGACACAGCCAGGGATTTCCTGTGTGGCAAAGCATATAACTTAAATAAGTACCTTGGGAAGAGCTTGCCCCCAATTTAAATATTTTACCACATGTTTAAAATTCAAAACTTAGTTGCCAAGAGATGGAACT